CTGGGCACTTCATTTTCACTGATACAGCTCCTGGCTTCCAACTTGGGGCCAAAGACTTGTGGCTCTCCAGGAATTCTCAGGCCTTTGGTGTCAAATTGGGATTGTAGTGGCACACAAGGTTGTAAATTGAGGGGCTACTAGATTTCCGGCCTCTCCGGTGTGAAATTGCTGAGAGGCCCTGCTGGTTGGAGGTTGCAGTCTACCATGGCCTGGCAGCAACATGGAAGACACTAACCCAGCCCTGGAGGAAGGTGTCCTGTTCTCTACCTGGCCTTACTTGCAGACTGTCTCTCTGCCCAGATGCCTGACTTATCTCTAGTGTGACCCTTGATGAAGTTCCCTGCAGAAGCTCCCTCCTGTTGCCTGTATGGTAATTTAGACATTGTGACAGGAACATTAAAATAGGACCATGCTTCCACATGGTAGCTAAAACTTGTACCAGCTTTATGATAGGAACATGATGTTTAATGCAAATCAGGTGGTCCCCCAGCTACTGTCCCCCAATCGTATATATTCCCTGTACTCTGGAATAAAGCTGAGCACAACTCACTGAAGCAGTCTCCTGGAGGGCTGTCTTCATCCCCACACAAAGGTCTCTGTCATCACTTCTGCCCCTTGCCCTTTCGGATTGGTGGCCAACAGGCTTTGAGGGAAAAAGGGACTCCCACCACATGAAACAGCCATTGTTCAGGACTGTTCCTCAAGTATATCGACCGTAATAGTGTTGAAGGAGGAAATAAAGTTAAAATAAAATGAAGGGAGAAAACAGAATTTCAGACATCATCTGGGGAAATGGTTACTTATAGCTTTCTTGGAAAACAGCTGCCTGTAATTAACATGTTTTACAGAAAGGAAAAATTCCCTATGCTCAGCGCTCTACCTGCTTCTGTAAACATGCCTGGACACAAGAGGTTTCTCATTTTGGTCTTAGTCATATGGGCCCCTCTGGCTGATAGAAAGTTAAGCCTTCCACTGAAGTAGTTGAAAATAATTCTGAAGGGCTTAGTGGTTAAGAGCCCTGGCTGTTCTTCCAGAGGTCCTGAGTTCAATTCTCAGCAACCACATGGTCGCTCAACCATCTGTAATGAGACCTGGTGCCCTCTTCTGTTCTGTAGGGATACACAGAGGCAGAATGTTGTATTCATAATAAATAAATCTTTAAAAAATTAATTCTGGCCGGGCGTTGGTGGCGCATGCCTTTAATCCCAGCACTCAGGAGGCAGAGGCAGGCGGATCTCTGTGAGTTCCAGGCCAGCCTGGTCTCCAGAACGAGTGCCAGGATAGGCTCCAAAGCTACACAGAGAAACCCTGTCTCAAAAAAAAAAAAAAAAAAAAAAAAAAAATTCTGAAAGGGCTATCAGTACTGTTGCTCAGAGTTTTGGAGGTAACTCCACGGAGCCGCCAATGTGATAAACTCCCTGATCCACTCCATTTCTGGTACCTGTTTCAGGGAGAAGGCTTCCATTTCTTGTAAGTGTAAGGCAATCTCATACCCCCCTCCCCTTAATATTCATTCCTGTCATTAGTTCTGTTTCTCTAGAGAATTCCAACCAATCTAGTGATGTTCCCTGCGCCTTTGTGTGTGTGTGTGTGTGTGGTGTCCCAATTGGGATATAGATGTCCCAATTTGGGCCCCACATTTAATAGTCACTTATTCCTAGAACTTTGACTAGTCATGAGTCTGCAATCATCATTGCCACTGCTAAGCCAGGTTTCTGACTGAAACTGATGGCAGCAATGATCTGTGGGCAGGAGCACAACACATCCACTTAGCAAAAGCAGCGGTAGTCACACCTCCCTCTCGAGGGTCTGTGACCGCCACAGCCATGGTACATTGTGCTATCGTTTCACTCTTTTTTTTTTTTTTTGGTTTTTTTGAGACAGGGTTTCTCTATATTGCTTTGGAGACTGTCCTGGCACTCGCTCTGGAGACCAGGCTGGCCTCGAACTCACAGAGATCCTCCTGCCTCCGTCTCCTAAGCGCTGGGATTAAAGGCGTGCACCACCAACACCTGGCCTATCTTTTCACTCTTAAATTTTTTTTTTTTTTTTTGGCCAGGTAGTGTTGGTAGTGCACTCCTTTAATCTCAGCACTTGAGCGGCAGAGCCAGCTGGACCTCTCTGAGTCTGAGACTAGTCTGGTCTACATGGTGAGTTACAGGACAGCCAGGGATACATAGACTATTTAAAAACCAAACAGTTACATTTACTTATTCAGTGTGTGTGTGTGTGTGTGTGTGTGTGTGTGTGTGTGTGTTCTGGAGATGTAACTCAGCTCAGGTCTTGAGAACTAGATACCTTTATCTTCTGAGCCATCTTTATTGGCCCCTTTTATGTGTGTGTGTGGGGGGAGGGGTGTTTGTTAATTATCTCATTAAAAAAAGCGATCCCCACCCGGCAGTGGTGGCACACGCCTTTAGTCCCAACACTTGGGAGGCAGAGGCAGGTGGATGGATCTCTGAGTTCGAGACCAGCCTGGTCTACAAGAGCTAGTTCCAGGACAGCCTCCAAAGTCACAGAGAAACCCTGTCTTGAAAAAAACAAAAAAATCCCCTCATAGTCAAATGTTGTGAGTTACACCTGTAATCCTAAGATTTGGGAGACTGTGGGCAAAGAACTGCTGTTAGTTCAAGGTCAATTTAAGTGAGCTCAAGACAGCCTGTGAGACCTCTCTCAGAAAAAAAAAAAATGTTTTTGTTTTGTTTTTGAGACAGGGTTTCTCTGTGTAGCCCAGACTGTCCTGGAGCTTGATCTATATATAGACCAGACTGGTCTTGAATTCAAAGATGATGAGCTTGCCTTAGCCTCTCTAGCGCTTGGATCAAAGGTGTGTGCCATGCCATCACTCCATGTTAAGAGATACTTTTGACTTAAATAGTCTAGTCTGCATCTAACTCTCATGGGTAAACTGTTGTAGAATATTATTTTAACATGTGTTACATTTGTTTGTGCTATGGAACATTTGTTTAATGATGCAAAGATGTTGTTGCATTTGTTGTTGTTGTTGCTGTTACATTTAAGTAAAATTAACCTGTGGCCAGGAGACTGCATCCATCAGCAACTAGCTGACGGGAAGTGGTAGGGAGGAGCCATGATGTGATGTCATAGAAGCTGGTTGGAAAAACTTGAGGGTTGTCTTGGAGGGAGACACAGAAAGGAGAGAAGGTTAGCTCCTAGCAATTCAGCCTCTCTGAGCTTTTGAGTTCTGTAGAGGGTACAGAGCTAGATAAAATTTCCCTTAGCAGCACTGAGAAAGCCAGTGCATGAAGGAACAGATTAGAACCCCTCCCCTGATGCTGGTAGCGGAGTTGCCTGATGAGGACAGCAGTTGCTCAGGGGGGAGCCCACTGTGTTAGGTGAAAAACAATAGTAAACTTTAGGGTTTTTTAAT